TTAACCTTACTCTCTTCTATGCTCGTTGGCCACAAAGACATCCCTACCTTACATTATAGTCGATGGGGCCCTCTAGCATCATTCACACACTATGTGGTCCCCCATCGCCTCCATGATCCTCTCTGTTGGGATTACAAGAGGCAAACCGGCCTCATCGTAAATAAGTGCCACAAAGCTCCATCGGAATACCCCACATTTGGTATTTTTCTTTGAAGAAAAAGCCATTAGATGTAGCGAACACGAATGAAGTAAGATTCTGATACTTATGCTGGAACAAACACATTGAAGACTTGAAGTTACAAGTGATCGTTGAAAATGCAATGAATGTGGCTTGGAGTCTCAAAGAATTCTTGGGAAGCTTTTCGAACGTTTAAGAGTTTTTGCAGAGTGAAAATAGAAGAAATGGTAAAGTCTGTCTCCTTTATATCCGGGCGAGGTGACGCCCCACCATCGGATTAGCCTTGGGAAAATCACAAGCGTACATACTTATCTGTCCATCTAGCACAATAAAACTAAAAGGGCACCTGCCAAAATTCAAATCAATGACCCAGATGGCTTCATGTTACGGACCCACTCAAAGTTCAAGTGATTTCTATTGACTGCAACAAGTCATCATCATTGTGCAGTAAATGCGCAAACAGTAAGCGTATGGAGAACCGCCAATCCACGTGGTTGCTGCGCCTTGAAACCAAGCGATGCATCATCGCAGCACACGCCCCAACAGATTTTAGTTGCTCCAATAGGGTCGCCCTAGTGTGTACTGTCACGAGTACCCCAAAAATAATACCTTAACCTCTAAAACTAATGTAGTAGTGGAAGTAAAGGTCGATCCCACGAAGAGTATGTAATTCAATATTTTATGCTTCATACAATGATTGGGGGGTTTGTATGCACACAATCGTAAATATCGCAATTAATAACAATGAAAATTAAATTAACGAAAACAATCAAAAGACTAACCTTGGTCCAAGTCAATATCCACTGTCGGAACTTTACAATTGATCATCGATGCCAGTAAAAATCAACCCATATTTTGAATATCCAATGTTGGAATGAATTTATATTTCTCTTTAATTTTAGCTAGTTAGAAANCTGTCGGAACTTTACAATTGATCATCGATGCAAGTGTAAATCAACCCATATTTTGAATATTCACCATTGGAATGAATTCCTATTTCTCCTTAATTTTAGTTAGTTAGAAATCAGCGTTCTAACTAACCCTAATTATTAAATAACCCCAGATCAGAGCTCAATATTCAATTTAATAACAGCGTTACACAATAGAAAAATCGATAAACTAGATAACACAAACACCAGTGGTTGCATTCAATCTATTTAAACATTTTTCTTAAAATTTAACAATCACCAAAGCAGCAAATTATCAAACCCTAGTTGCTTTACAAGTTAAATAAATCAAATAATTATGGATTTGATATTTACAAACTAGTAGGCCTCCTAGAAAT